TTTGGCCGTCAAGGGTGTAGGTTCGGCCGTCTGCACCCTTCCCCAGGCTCATAAATACCGACTTGGCTGGGTTGACCGGGAGAAGAACTTCTTCAGACCATGTGGATAAGCGGTTTAGATCTTGCTGAAGTAGGCCACAGTCATCGGGAGCGTCGATTTCTCTCCAAATCTTCATGTCGTCCGCAAACAAGGCACACGGCGACCGGAGAAGCTGCGGTAGATCGTTGATGTGGATCAGGAACAGAGTGGGCCCCAGCACAGTGCCTTGAGGCACGCCACTTGTAGAGGGGTACCAGTCAGTTAGATGGTCGTCGACCTGTACCCTCCACTTTCGTCCAACAAGAAAGTCGCGGATCCACCGGTGCAGTGAGCCACCGACGCCACACATGCTGAGTTTGTGAAGGAGAACCTCATGACTGACCTTGTCGAACGCTTTACTGAAATCGATGAATATCACATCGACGGACTTCCCCTTGTTTATTGCCTTCAACCACTCATGCCTCGTCACAAGCAGGTTAGTAATGCATGAGCGACCTTGCATAAAACCGTGCTGTGCGGGCGTCAGGACCTCGTTTGACTGTAGCGACTGCAGCAATCTCTTCTTCACGAGTTTCTCAGCAACCTTTGCCAATATAGGTGTCAGACAAATTGGCTTGTAATTGTCTACTTTGCTAGGGTCGCCGCCTTTCGGAATAGGCTTCACCACCGCACATTTCCAGTCAACTGGCAACAAACCTTCGGAGAGCGACCTGTTGAAAAGGTCAGTCACGATAGGAGAGAGGATGGTTGAAAGTGACTTGAGAACCAGTGGGTGAAGCCCATCAGGTCCGGCAGGTTTAGTGCCGTCAAGGTTGGCAAGTAGTTGAGCTACCTCTTCGACGCCACAATGCAGACTATCGAGTTCGGTAAAAGCGGTACACGTCGAACTCGGAACAGACACCTGGTTATTCGCAAATACAGAAGCGAAGTGCGCCGCCAACGCGGACGCACGCTCAGTGCTGGAGGTTAGGGGCTGTCCATCCGTGCCATCTAGCACTGGCACATCACCCGCCGGCTTCAGGCGTCGCTTCACGTATGCAAAGATTCTCTTTGGGGCGGTCTTCGCGGCTAATGTGAGCTGCTCTTCAAAGTGTCGGCGTTTATTCTTTTTTTCACTGTTGCAGAGATTCCGCTGACATTTGTACCCTTCGTAATCATTGGCAGAGCCAGAGAGAAGGAATTTGTCCCACAGTCTGCGCCGCCTCCGAGCCAGGTTTCCATACTCCTTATCAAACCAATGAGGCTTAATCGGTCCAACCTTTCGACATTTCAATGGCACAAATTTGGAACACAATGATGTTAATCTCTCTTTTATACATATCCAACAATCTTCCACAGATGCAGTTTGTGACAGAGACCAATCCAGTTGACTCGCGGCTCGAGCAAGACCATCGAAGTCCGTTTTCCAGTAGTTGGGAGCTGGTTGCAGCGGATGTGAACACGGCAAAGATAATTCCATATCAGCTATCAGTACTGAGTGGTCGCTCGTAGCCAGGGGCTCCAGGATCCTAACGTCACGCACTCGTTGTTCGTAGCTCGTTAACATCAGGTCGAGACAGGACGAAGTTGAACGTGTTGATATGCGTGTTGGCTGGCATATGTGTTGCGATGCACCAGTTTCAAGTACCAAATCCACGAACTTTGCTTCAACCTCACTATGTCTAGGCATCAAATGCACATCAGGCCATCGTATTCGAGGACAGTTAAAATCTCCCATAAGCAGAAAGTGTGGACGACTCATGTGGGTCCGAAGATGGGGCAGCCAATCCAAACAACGACTCAGGGGACTGCGATAAACTGCGCCCAGAAGCAGTTCTCCGCGCCTGAGGCGGATGGAGCACCACAGTAGCTCACACAGGCCATCGTCACTTCGGTAGGTGCTCACAAGTCTCCCACGCAGGGAAGACCGGATGTAAAGTAAGACACCACCGTGGGCATTTTTTAGTCTATCGCATCGGAAACACGAGTAACCGTTGAGTTCAAGTTCTTGGGTGTATAACTCTGCATGCAGCCATGTCTCTGCGAGTCCCACTACGTCTGGCCGCTCAGACGCAACGAAACAACAAAGCTCATCGCGCTTATTCATAATACTGCAAACGTTTGTGAAGGCTACTCGCAGGCCGCAGCAGGAGCCACCGGGCGTGCTTGAAGTGTGAGCAGCCTGTTTATCCTGATTCGCGGATTGTTGGAAACCACCCGAAAATTTACGATACGAAGATTTGTTTCCCCCTCACCAGTGCGTCTTTTCAACTCAACGATGGCAGACTTGAGCCGCTCCCTGTCTACTGGGTCCAGGTCGGGACGAACATGGATCTTCAAACCTTTCAGCCTACTTAGGCGAGACATGATCAGTCTTGGACTGGCTTCGTCCACAAAAGTGATTCTCATAGGCCGATTTTGTTGATCACCTTGCTTTCCAAGACGGGTAATCTGCCTCACTTTTACCGAGTCCTCACCAGCGTCGAAGAGTCTATCAATTAGACTCTGTAAAAACTCGACATCGTGATCGTAGCGCACTTGGGGTGATGGATCACCGGACTCCGGTGCGTGAAAGATCACGAGATTATAACGCCTCTGGTCGGACGAGGTTGGCCTTGCAGGGCGAAGTATACTACCAGCCTCAAGTGGTTTGGCTAAGTGTTGACTTACAGAAGTTAAACGCCCAACGTTCCTTCATAATTTCGTCCTCTGATCTTTCCACTGGTCTTCAGCACTCAGACTTTCACCTGCTGGCACATCAGTGTCCGGTGGACACAACAAAGGTAAACAATTTAGCCCAGGTGCAACTGGGCTTCTCACAACGGTTGGACTTCGTGTCAGTGAGTTTGCACGGGTAGAGGAGGACGACTGAGCCGAAACCTGAAGGCTCTTCGCGCTAGGTTGTTGGGCCAAACATACGGAGCTGTTTGCAACGAAACGCTGAGGACTACACGTCGGCTTTACTCTTTCTGGCTGTATCTGATTTCGGCAATTTTCACACATAGTTTGGACGAAATCGTGTTGGATCTCGCGAAGGCGATGAAAATGCTCAACTGATAATCCAACACATGAAATATGGTATTTAACTTGGCAAAATGCACACGTGAGGGCATTTGCACGGTATCCGACTAGTTTGGAGCAAGTACCACAGGATGACTGCTTCGGCATTGCGAATAATCCGAAAACAAGATGGCGGCCAATTGACGAAGAACGTGGCGATAGCAAGATCGCCGAAACCAAACGATGAAATACAAGTATTTCTGGTCGGAAATTTCAGAATCGGAAATGAACCTGAATTGTAGCTCAATTTCCACGAAATACTTCCAATGAACGCAGAAAGTTAACACAAAGTGATCTTGTCAACACAGCCAAAAATAACCGACCGGAGGGCGCTATCCGCAGTTAACCATCAAACAGCATTGACACCTTCTTCCTCTCCCTGTCGTAACTGGGAAAATCTCAGGCGTGCAGTGAAGACACGTTGTCGCGACTCCAAAAGAATATGGAGTGCATTGAGACCTACCGAAAATATGTGTTTTCGTGCAAACACAGTGCATCAAAAAGCCTCTGACCTTCTGCGCCAAGATACTGTCTCAGGAGTTTGACAGACTGGGTGCCGGTAAAATTAAGGTGAGGATTTTTAACAGAGAATAGTTCAATGAGATCGCAGAAGGTTATCTTCCAGTGCGTCCAATGAGCTAAAGTTGACTTGCAATATGTATCCTTTCAATAGGGTTCAGTTGGAGTAATTTGGCTCATTGCAAATGATTTCAAGTTTGATATCCGTCGCCAAGGTTAAAGCTTGGTCTGCGCGAAACTACAACTCTCAGTAAAATGCAGTATTTGGCTTGTAGCGCAAGACTGTAGAACACGCGCGTTTCACCAGTACACAAAAGATAGTATGTCTACTTTCGAACATAGCTCCTTCCTTAAGATTTAAATAGTATGATCAATAGTTAACTTGGCGTACTGGTGAGGTTAAGTCTGGCCAATAAGGAGCAAGCAAACTTTGCTCGCGCAAATGTCACAGGTTCTTAGAAAATACCTTTTTGATAAATCTTATCAGATATGTACTAGCAGGATGCAACTTAATAAGCAGGTGTCAGTAGCCAAGAATTGTGCAGCCAAGGGTTCATTGCGCAAAGCCTCCTCATACCATGACCTTGTCAGCCAGACTAAGGCGAGTGGGTCTATGGCAGAGGTTTTGTATTGGCATCAACCGAGAGGGCAGGTAGGATCCAAATCCTCTCCATGACTACGGATACAGCTTACACACCAAATCGTTGCAGAGCAAGAAACAAGCTTTTCCAGTGAGTTTGCATCTTCTAGATGCGCATGACTGAGCAGTGTATCTTAACGTACTTCCTTCACACGCATTCTTTTACTGATTGAATGATTAACGCTGCGAGTTAATTTTAGTGACACCGGAAGTCATCCTCGTTTTGTGTTGGTAGAAAAACGAGTTGCGTAAATCAGTTTTAATTATGTTTACTTTTGAAGCGATAACATGTCACTATTTAACTCTTGTCGATGTCTACCCTAACAAGTACAGTCAATTGGCATTCACCGTTCACCAGTGGTAATGACATTCTTCCTTCGTTGTAAGCCAGTTTTTCATCCAGTGAGTTGGGGTGCGCTATTCTCTGGTCCATATATATATATATATATATGTATATATAAACGCAAGGAGTGGTGTTGAGCTGTAGTAATGCGATATACACCTGCAAAACATAACTCTGTGCCGCAGAGCATGTGGACAACCGTGAACAAGGCGAAGCAAGATGAGAGGGCATTTATGAAAATGAGCTGTGCGCTGCCTACCGTCTGTAGCAACTTCTGTGGCTCGCATTTCGACTCAGTATCCCTTGCTACGGCACAAACCGTCTGCATACTATTGGTATGCCGAACTCAGATGCGGCATTACATTCAAAGTGGTACGTGTGAAATGAACTACTTGTTCAGTGCAGGTTAGAGATAAGTGTCTAATGCGAACTCACTCTTGGTGTGCTGAAACCTTCCTCGACATTAGCCTTAAATGAAGAGGTAAAGATATTTGGAGATAAATTCTTTCATTACCGCGCAAGTATATAACACACACGACTAGCTTTGCCAAATAGTTGGTTTTAGGTGAACAAATGTTGCTAGCTGTTAACAATGAATAAAATCGAAAAGTTCCTTCTTCGATATCGGTCCTGGTAATCGGAGTAACCGAGTAGAGTTTGAAGGTAATTCGTAGCCGAAAGTTTGACCGTACGTTGTTAGAAACACTTACGGAATGCAGCTGCGTGTGGTATCAATATCAAAGGATATGTGTATATTCTATTGCACTCGAGTTCTATAAAGTCAACGGCAGAATAGCAATTGCATCAGGTCCCTGTGGTAATAGGCTGACAGCACACACCTTTCCATCTGCTAATAACAAAAAATGATTTGAGCACATTGCTTGTAGTGCAGCATAATCGACTGTCTTACTTACAGCTCATTTGTCTTTTGTCAGGTTGATTCACCGGTCACGTTAACTTCATGGTTTTCGATTCAAACACAGAAGAATCAAACAGGTAATTATTATCGGAGTCCAGTAACACTTTGGGTAGATCTACCTAGCAGAAATTTCTTTTGTCCGGATCTTTAGGAACAATGAACAATGATTTATAACGGGTAAAAAAGCAGGAGTTTGACACCACAAGTGGCAAGGATCAAAACCATCAGCTTATGTCGCTTACGTTCACGGATTTCACTGTTTCCGTGGGACAAAAGATATACTGCTTTTATGCAACAGCAGAACAACGACATACTTCGCTCAATAAATATGTTAATATTACAATGCACTCGTGGCTGAGCCCTAGCCCGAGCGCTCGACAGACCTGTGTAACGAAGACCCTATAGTTTATCATGTGCGCTTGGGTTTTGGAAATTGTTCAAGCATTCCGCGGTTACATTGTATAGGGCAACTAAAAATTATCTGACATTGGTGATCCCATTTCACTACATCGAGTTGTGATTGATCTACGTGCGGTGTATTTTTCTGTTTGACTCAATAACAAACCAAATCTTCTAGTGGAACAAGAAACGGAAGAAATGTTACTGAACCTCTTTCCATCAAACAACTCTATTACACAAGCATTGAACTTATTTTTTGTTTTTACCGTTACGCACGTAAAACCTCCCTAAAGCACGGAATTTCGTTCCGCTAGAAGTGAGGAAGTCATCAACATTATACACGTTAGCTAAAGGTGTAAACACTCCTCCGCTAATGTGCCATAATAATTATAAAAAATAAGCAAATAAATGCAACATTTGCATGCCAGCCGAGCTACTAGCTACGGATGGGCATCGTTCCGGAATGCTACCAGCCGGCGACTAGGAAACAAGAAAATTAGGATGCAAACTTATATTATTTTACGAAATGAGATTGTGGTTGGTTGGCAGGATAAAAGGGATGGTGAAAGACAAAGGAATTCACAGCAGGAACGCCAACGTGGTCGGCTCCTAGTCAGGTCAGTAAGCGCATCTAGCCAAACCTGTTCATCGTCTTTTGGACCCCAACCAGGAAGGCGTGACACTCCAACCGAAGCCAACTGCAAAGTGAGAGCCTTCATTTCTCTCGACCAAGTCATTACTTGGCCAGCTCTCCTCTTCTTCCATCCACACCCCCGGCGAGCAAACAAAACACGTCGCGGGAGTCGGTGGGCTGGCATGCGTAACGCGTGGCCGATCCATTGCAGCCTGGTGCATGAAATGACGGTGTTGATCCGTTCAGTTTCTTTGCTTGTACCGTAAACAAGGCGTCGAACACGCTCGTTGCTCAAGCGGTGTTCCCACCAGATATGAGCCAAACTGCGAAGGCACCGGTGGTCAAACTTAACTAGCCTCCTTATTTCCGCTGATATAAGGGGCCAGATTTAACAGCCGTAGTAGCTTCTAATTAACATAATTCCAAGCTAGGAGCATGCACGGACCTGGGCGATAAGGTAGCTCAAAGTTAGATGCCTGAGCATGAACGTTTGCTCGATTACCTCGTCAATTGACGAGGTAACTCGAATTTTTGCCGTCATACTAATTGAGTTTTTAGCTGCAACATTGTTGAATACAGTTTTTGAACAAGTACTTGAAAGAAGGTTGACTACTGTTAAATTCTTTTAATCTAAGACAAGTTGTATCAATTAAATGAGTCACGTACCAAGCGTTGCTTTGAAGCTTGCTGGTAACAGTCTCGATTTTGCTGCTACGAACCCGTTTTACACCCTGTTTTAACTTTTTGCTGTTCGTCGTTTTACTGCGGATACATGTTATAATTGCTACTGTTTTCCATCTTACTAAATCTGTTTTGGGATGCACCCGTGTGGATGAAGAGGCTAATGCTGCTTGCGGGAGCACAAATTGTGCATTACCGGTGACTGACGATTCTGGTGGCATGCAGTACGGCGACCGTAACTACTGGTATCAGCAGCAGTACACAGATTTGACGGCTGAGCAATACATTATATTATCTACTAGAATTTTTATCTGCGTCAGGAGTCGCGGACGTTGACCATACCTTCCGGGTTTCCTCCGTAGGGACTTCGAAGCCCTTAATGCCAAACTGCAGAGTTTGGAGAATGCAGTCACAGCGGTTATCACCTTAGTCACCACTGTGATTGCCAATCCCAATCGTAAGATAAACCGATTGACAAAGGCAAATGCGGTCTCCAATGATGCCAGTATGGTGAAGACAAACGGGCGGATCAGCTTTGTTAATTAACCGGTGGTGCCACCTATAGCGTGAAGAACATTCATTAAGGTGTATCTGAATGATCAAGAGGCTGCTTTCAAAATTTCCGGTCCTACCCAGAATACTGCTGTATTCCTCGCCAACAAACCCGAAAATAGTAAAGAAAGAGGATTAGAAAGTCGCATAAACCATCTACATCTAAGTCAGTTCAGGCAGCGGGTGAAAAGCACTATGTGTTGTCATTGCGTGCTAAGGAGATTGTCGTAGGTGCACAGTCCATTACTCCAAACACCACACTCTCTCATCTGGAGGTACAGGTCGTGAAGTCAGACACCGACGTTGAGCCACAATCAATTTTGCGCGCTAGTCAAAGGAAAAAGAAGAAAATAGCTGCCTGAATTCTTTAGGCTAGCTTGGAAAAGTTCAAGAATGATGCGTTAAAGAAGCCCGAGCAAAAGAGATACGCTGTAGTTGCTTCGACGCCATCTATTAAGGTGCGGCTAGTCTCATGCCCTGCGGCTAAGCTGGTTGTTGTTCATGTAAAAACAAAGACTTCTGTGATACGTGCACCTTGTCATGGTGAGTATTTCATGGATAGGGGCATGATATTCCGTAAGACTTCCACCGTTCCTGCTAAAAGCAAGTTAGAAAGATATTAGCGGTTTAAACTGTGTGTAAGGAAGTCTCTTCAAAACGATCTTCCCTACGTTACGGAGAGAAAACTGTATAGACTGGGTAACCTCTCAGTTAGCGCGCCAAACTCTTAACCACGCTTGCTTCGTGTGGTCTTCTCCACCCCGGAGGAACGCAATGTGCTGTTGCGTCTGCTTTTAAATTGAAGGGTACTAGCGTTAACGTTCAGCCAGATCTCCCTCTAACGGATAGACTAAAGCTAAAAGTGACCACCAAGGACCTCAAAAACAGGTGAGCGGGTGGTTATCACTGTCTCTGGTTTGTGGAAGTTTAGGTAGTCAGCCGGCGGTCTTGTCCGCCCTGGCACTACCCGTTTTGGTAGCGTAAGATCCAGCTCTGGACATTTTGAATCCCTTCAGATAGTGCTCAGCAAGGTACGCAGCTTAAGCAGTAAGATCCACGAGATAAGTTTGCTTGTACATTGGCCTCATTGTGCTACACTAGCATTCACTGAAACGTGGCTGTCGCATGACATCACGGACGGTGAACTGCATCTAGCTGGCTACGCACCATAATGCTGCGATCGCTTCGTTGGCCCATAAGGTGGGAGCGTAGCGGTTTAGGTTAACTGTAAAAGTGACGTCATGAGCACCTACATGTTTCAGTCGGTATACAATATTGTTAATGCTCTGTCGGTAGTGATTAGCACTTACTTGCTTCCACCTACAGTTGTAAATGTGTATAGAAGCTGTGGAGCGCACCCTACCGACATGCTTGCATTCATTCGCTCCAAATCCCTTAACAGTTGTTTGATACTAGGCGACTTTAATCTACCCGACTTTTGCTAAGCAAATCTTTCTTGCAACCGGACGTCAGGTATTCAGGGGCTGATCTTCAGGAACGTACGCTACTGATAACGTTGCAACAATTCATGGACCTCCCACTAGGTATATGGACATCCTAGTACCGTCCATTTTGGATCTAGTTTTTAACAAAACCCTAAAGTTTGTAGGTGACGTCACTTACTACTCTTCCTTGCATGCCAGTAACCATGTCTGTTTCTTCTTCATATGTGCTGTGTCCAGATGTCACTAGAGCATCTATGAGCCATATCTCAACATACGGCTTGCAAACTATCAAGCAATGCGTACCACGACTGCATGTTTGCGTCGCGGAATCTCGTTGGCCGATACGGTTCGGCCAGCCTGGGAGAAATTTGGTCTTTTCTCAAAAACCTGTTTGCTCCCTACATCCCGCTAGCGAGCAGAAACGAAACATGAGCACGGCCACTGTGGATAGATACCACTGGCAATTACCTACTTCAGACTCCTCCTAGATACCAGAGGACTTGCCCAGCCGCTTGATCAACTGGTACCAATTATGATTACCGCGAAGCTTTAAATAGACATAAAAAAACAGTTGCTGAAAGCTCGACTGTTTTACGAACTGGACTTGGCTGACGGAGCTTCGGAAAATCCGAAGAAGTTCTGCGCTTAGGTTAACAGGCGCTGTGGTCCAAACTCAGTAATTCCAACTTCGACGCGGGCCGATATAACTCATGTGTATGCGGAATCTGACAAGGCTTGTGTACTTGGTGAGCAGTATACAGGGTCTTCTGTACGTAAGACCGCGTTGAATAGTGTTGAACTTGCCCCAAGAGTCCCTGAGGGTTCTTATTTAGCTGAATGTACTGCGCTGGATGGGCAAGTCCTTGGGCTGCTCCAAGAACTGAACCTTACTAAAGCACCAAGGCCTGATTCAACTAACCCGCAGCCTCTGCGGCGGAACTACGTGGACCTCTGACGATGGTGTTTCAGAAATAACTTGACTGCTGTACATTGCCTTCTAAATGGAAGGTTACTATCTGTCCAATCTTCAAAACTGGTGCCAGAAGTTTGTCAGCCAATTATAGACCAGTCAAACTAACTGGTATCGTAGTCAAACTGTTTGAGAAGTTGGTGCGAGATTAGTTGGAAGATCATCTGAATAGATTAAATCTCCTCAGTAGTGTACAACATGGATTTCGAAAGCTATTTTCTTTTTAGATGAATTAGATGGTTGCTCGTGAAGTTTGAGTTGAGCTAGTGAACTATAGCCAGATAGTGGACGTGCTTTCGTTAACTTCTCAAACATATTTGGTAAGGTACCTCATTTCAGGCCATCACAAAAGCTGAACTCCTACGGTATATCCGGCAGCGCCCTGCACTGGATAGTTGCATTCTTGCAGGAAAGAGAACAAAGTTTACTCGAGGGCCGCAGCTTAATTCTTAGGCAACTGGTCTTTGTCGGTGTCACACAAGGCTCCATCATTGGACCAATGCTGTTCTCCATCTATATAAACTATCTCCCTGGGGTTTTGGGTGTACCATCGTTATTATTTGCTGTTGACCGTAAACTGTGGTATGTGGTAGATATTCCTGGAGTTTCCGAAGCCATCCAGCATGCCATGAATAAGCTATGGGACTGGTCTACTTTGTGGCTACTGCCCAGTAATCAGATTGTGTTCTGTCCATCGTGCAGGCGCAGGTTTACGACCTGCGAGGTAAGTGCTCGGTGAGGTCAAACTCCCCCTTGTCTCTAACCAAATAAAACATTACGTCATCGATTCCTCTTTGCATTCTGGTGACCACTGCAAGAAGGCCGCAAGTAGGGATTTCAGAATGCTGTGCTTAATGCGCTAATATTTCAGAGTCTGAACTGGTGACATATTTGTGAAGCCATTCACGGCTTTCGTTCTGTCCCATCTAGAATATTGCGTCCAGGCTTGCCCACCATGCCTCTTTCGGGATATAGTGGAGCTCGAGAGGTTTTTGCGTGTAGGTACCAAGTTGGTCGTGGAGGTGCAATGGTAAACGTACTCAGAGCGTTTACTTAGCTTGGATGTGTATGCAATACACTACTGAAAGCCTAGAGGAAATCTGCTTCTCAATTGTCGTTTTTAACTGGGAACGTTGGACCGGAATTAAGTTGCCTATTAAGCAAGGCTAGGTTAACATGACTTCGTAGTCATCTCATGAAGCTACACAAGCGTCGCTCCCACCGAATCAGTTTGGAAAGTCGGTTATTGCGCAGAGTTATCGCGCTATAGAATTTGATTCCAGCAAATGTGGTAGTGAACCTATGGTTAAGGGTTTTGAGCGTCAGTTAGATGCTCTTCTTGGCAACACGAAACATTTCCCTTCTTCTGACCATAACCATCTTCGAATTGTGAGTTCATATTCCGTACTTCCTCTTACTCTGGTACTGTTCTTCATTCAAACGGATTACCTTTCGCTTCCTCCTCTATGTTCTTTGCACCTCTTTCGTACTTCACATGACCGGCACAGTGGGGACTTCTAGTTAAGAGAAGGTGGGGAGTAATTGGTTGACCATGGAGTAGTTCGGGTGTTTCGTTTTAGATCCACCAATACCTCGGAAAACCATATCATATCCGTGCTCAACGACCTTCTCAAGTAGAAATGCTCAAGAGATTTTCCTATCCTTCCAGTCCCATTTGAATATAAAGATAATTTTAAATGAAGTAGAATCATTAGCTTGGTTTTCAGAGCAACCCATATAATAAGATCAAGTTGGCTAATTCCAGAACTCAGTACTCTGGGCAACCAAGGACTCTGATGTTCATTGCTCTCTACTATGCGATCAATTAACCCGGTTTGGTCTGTTACGACAAAACAACCACAACATCTTATTGGTGGCATTTACTCCGATTCTACCGCAACTCTTTTTGGATGCCGGTAGAATTGCATCTACTAATAGCGAATAAATACATATAACGGAAAGATTAGCAACCAAAGGTCGGTGAGAAGTAGCACCAATCAATGTACACACCTTCGAATTTGAATTTAACACGAGTGACCGAAAAAGTTCGCTGGTGTGATTGTCTTTTGTATCCCTGATCATTCGAGTGTGAGTATATGGGACGAACTTAAAACACTTAGAAAGATTTTTCCAGCAAAACCTTAACCTATGCTTTAAATATGTTTTCCTGGCTGCCCTTACTGTCCAGGAGCAGCGGAAATCGATTCCGGATTCGGTCCATTACGCTGGGAAGTGAATGCTTATAAGTAAATACCAGTTATAAACAATGATGCGTTATGAGGTTTAATGTCATATTAAGACATAGTACGCTACCTATATTCGCATTTTCATTTTTATCCTGCGAGTGACCAAAAACACGCCCGAATGGAACTAGTTGCTGTGCATATGTGACGACTGGGCGTGTAAACAAGTAAGCGACGCTAAAATAGCAGGTTCAAAGCAAACGAATCGAATACTGGTAAGCTAGAAGTATACACCTCGCAATATACCAGTACACAGCGTTACACATAAGGATAAAATTGTTGCAGTTCACAAATCAGCTTTTCAGACTTACTCGAGGTGTGTCGTAAATCTCCTCCTCATCGGACTTTGCGAAATACACAATTGAAATAACACTAAATCGAGAGCTTGGCGAGGTGTAACTTAAGTAGATGCGGTAACTTTCAAACATCGTTTAAAAGCGAAACGAATTTGATGCAGATGTCTGCAAATTTATCTCACAAACATGATGAATTCAGAGATAAGCAGTCGCACAAATCCTGTAGATTATTTAAAATAAATGCTTATTGCAAATGCCAATTTTCGCCACCAAGCAAGTCAGTCCAACATAGTTGCTTCATGCGTCTCATGCAAGTAAGACTCTCAAATAACACTTACTATCTCTCGATTTGAGGTATACAAGTTTGAGAGTTTGTTCTTTATGCTTGCCGACATCTACATATTCTCAAGGGTGAGGCTAATGTTGCATTCTTGATGCTTCTTCACCGCAGTTGGGCTAAACCAACTTACACTTAAACTAGGTCTTTTTAAACTGGCTAAATTTCATTCCGCTTTATTTGGTTTGTTCTGCCTCCCTGAATAATGTTCTATCAACTGGTCACGTTGCTTACACTAATTGCGCTTACCTTCGGTACTTTTGTTGCGTTTGTAGCATTTTAAGTAACTTGTGGACATTTCTTACTTATCACGGATTTGTTGCTAACCAACTTACTTCGTATGGTAATTTAGCGAAGAGTTATGCCACCGTATCTGTATGCATTATTGGATTTATTTTATTTCAGCTTGTCGTTTAAAGTGAATGGGTTTTGTTTGATATCCCTGGCATGGTTGCGCTTGATGTGTATGTTGACAAGGTGCCTACCTGTCTACTACCCACTACATCGTTCATACTGGGTCCAGGAGACAGTTGGTCGTTGCTGGAGGGGACGGGGTGCACGGTTCTTGTGGCCGTGCCAGGCTCAAAGAGCGGTTCCATGCACTCAGTGTGGAGCGGACTACGGTCCAGCCACCGCCTTGTGTGCGGTTGATTCCCCAAATACAGCGTGCTTGTGTTTGCCTGTGAAGGAGTGTGGGCCGGCTTCGTTGATGAAACGTGGTTCCCATCCGCATGCCTCCCGGTCTTGTTCCTTCGGGTTTACACTGGATATGGGGTATGTGTTTGGAGCTGTGGGTGGTGCAGCGCAAGCCATCCATGGTCCCTCTGTAGGCGCAGGCGTTCTGTGGCTTGCCACAGTGACAGGCAAATCCGAAACCGGATGCCGCCAACCATATAGTAACTCCATTCCGAATGCTTACATTTATATGCCAAGTGTTGACCATCGGTCGCAACAAAACAGCACACATTATGTACATTGAGAACTCAAAATTTGATCCACCTCTGGTGTAGAGGAACTCTGTTTTTATTCTGTACTACTTCTGTCCCGTCCAATGATCCACTCGCTGTGGTTTCCACTATCAATTACCCGAACCTTTTCTGGCTACCAAATCCAATAGCCGCGTACTCTACATCTCAATCCATATTACGTGATAGATGTTTACACTATCCCGTGTGCATTTTGGGCTTTAAGAAGTAGCCACTGCAATTTATTGTGCACATGTTTATCCAGTTCACAATTCCTGAGCACACTTTATCATTGCTTCAGTAAAAGAAGGCATATTGTGAAGTCACCAGTTTGTTCCGGTTCTGTATTGAAACCATACTTTTTGGCCATTTTAACCTAAGTAGAAGTGGTTGATTTGAACTTGTGTTACGAACACAAATGATTGAGGTTACTGCACGTTTTATTTTCAGTTGTTTGTAAATAGTAGCCTTTTCCAGTGTCGGCTTTGTTTTGCTTCATTCTAATGGAAACTAACTTGTCAAATGCTTCCAAGCGGTTTGAGAATTGCAACAGTGTTGCAACATGTTTGTTATATGTTGAGTGGCGATGACTAGTCATAGTCTCTACCAAATCCTTCGTCACGTAGATTCCGTATAATTCAGGGTAGTGCGTTGCGTAGATTTCTCCTTAGTTCCGGGTGAAAGATTTGTTTATATTTAGTGACCTTGCAACCACCAGGCTCGCCTGCGACGACTAAGATTGTTCAGTGGAAGCTATCGCAGGCTACGAGCCGACCTGATTATGACATACTTGATTCTGCGAGACCCACATCATGTGTGCCGCCCTTTGCTGCAACTCAGCAGCAATACAAACCTGAGAGGCCACTCATTAAAACTCGCAGAACAATACAGTCGTCTGGAGTGCCGCAGAAATTTCTTTTCCATCCGTGTCTGTCACCCGTGGAATGCTCTCCCAGAATCGGTCGTCTCTGCACCGACACTAACAATATTTAAAAGACGGTTGGACGATGCACTCACCCACTTACACTTTGTTACTTAACACTATGTCTCCATCCTACACCTGGAGTTTACCCTGGAATTATTTGTTGTTAACTGTGAGTGTTGTGAATCTAAGAGGATCGCAGGACTACAGCGAAGCAAACGATAAGTCCTTATTTTCATATTTAAAGTAGTAACTATTTTACTATCCTTTTCATCATAATTGTTATGTTGATATTCTCTGCAACTATCCAACGGGACTTGTAAAGCAACGCTTCTTAACCTGTATAAATTCATTGTTCATTGTTCATTGGATCGGGGCAGCTTCCACGAAAAGGACTACACAACCTAAGACTCTTTTGATAGCTTCATTTTCTAGTTTCTTTATCCACCCTTTCTTATAAGAATTAAAACGTTATTGTAGCTGAACTGATGAGGAATGACCAGAAAAGAACTTGTTTGCTGTACCGACCTTTCAGCATTAGAACTGGAGTTATTCATCCTTTAAAGAATAATGTTTGGTGTGATTTCAGGTTCAATAGAAATATTGTTTTGATTTTAGAATAAACCGTTGGGGAAGAGTGGCAAAGCTTTGCTTGTAGGTGAGTAATCCCCCATTGTTTCACTGAATACACTTCTCACTAATTAAGGTAGTTTTCAAGCTAATGGAGTGCAATTGCTCACAATATTCTACTAGTTGAGTCTCCTTGATTTCAATTCTTTCGACTTAAACAATTTTGAAGCTTGTGTTTGGCTACTATCCAGAACAATTTGCTTTTCGATTCAATTATTTCAATAGCTACACAGCCAATGACAGTTTATGACGCATTTTCGACACATTTTGTCATTATTCTTTTCTATGTCTAGTAGAGTAAGTTTTAGGTGGCATACTGGTATGTGATTTCATACAACAGATGTGGAATCAAGCTTTGGTATCGCAAGCAAACTTTCAGCTAGGTTGTTGTCTTGGGTGCATAAGTGTGAGCCAACAAATGGGTTGCCTAGCGACGGCACCACATTCGGTTTAGGGCAAATAAGGTGAGATCAAGTGATTGAAATGGTTTTTCTGTATTCCAATGAGGTACATTTAATCTGTGCAGCATAGAACTTGGTTATCTCGAAAGTTTGGTTTTGCCACGAACACGTTTTGATGACTCTATCTCTACATCCAGTAGCTGGAGACATTTGTTCTCTGAAGCAGTGGTCTTTACACATGACAAGCAAAAATGCGGATTCATGTTGATCTCTAGATATAACATGTATACAAATGTTAATTTTACCATGGTATAAGGTAGTTTGAGTGACTGAACAAATTTCTTATGCGCCCTTGCACCACTGACACAGTGTGGACAACATCACATACACATAAATCTTAATTTAATCGACATACACAAGAAGTTACCACCTCCACGATGCAAGTAACAAGTTGCACTTACTGAGGATATGTCGCTCAAGGCTGCGGCTATAGGCTAGAAGGTTAAGGGAATTAGAGGTGGTAGTTTCTTAGCTTATCACAAAAACATTTGCTGCAGTGTGTCTACTAAGATGAATAAACCAAGCATTCGAAATTTAAAACAAATATGATGGGCGCAAAATAAGCAAAGCAAATCGAGTAAGTGAATGCGTGCTCCCTCCAAACTCCATGTTTTGTCCGCCGTGCCTAGTTAGGCAGCATGTGTTTGCTTGTTACCCTAACGCATGCGTGTTTTGACAGCATAGATGCGAAAAAATGAATCTTAACTATCATGAGACAACCAGTGTGTTTCGTTAGGAAGTGAATATGTCAACATTTACAGAGCAAAGTTTTGCCTTTCGCTTACCAATAATTAAGCAGGGGTTTCAGTGTCTGTCGAATACTTTTGGTTGATTACTCATTGGATCTAGTTTAAACTGTGTAAAGTATTTTAAACCAAAATTCAACGAATCTGACTAGTTTACTTATGCTCGGGAAAAAGAGCAAATAGCTGATTATGAATACATTGCAGTAAGCATTATATTATAACTTTCAAAATGCATGATGTTTAGCACAATTTTGAAAGTCGATGGAGTATTGCTTTCCGGAGCTGCGATGCGCTATAGATTGGGCTGTTTGACCGACTGATTACTGACGGTTAGGTGTGTAAGCTGCCCGATCTCAGCACCATAAACTTTAATGTAATCTAGTTTTATACATAATCTAGAGAATTAAATTTCTTAGCTTGATCACAAATCTTCAGGTAGACAGTGCTAGTTAGCTTTTTCTATGACCATAAGTCAAAGACAAGAAGATTCAGTAAGCTTTGGATGAGATAGCCAGGTGCGGATTCTGTAAGCATTGAATACGCCTGTACCTCGTCAGAATAAATCGTGAGTTTTGACACAAAACGACCATCGGAATCGGATCTAATCGTAACGCCATAAATTATCTAATTTCAGGTAACATATTTAATGTTATTCGAGCTCTAAATATTGGGTAAAACTATTATAACTAAAATGTCCAAATCAATAACTACCAGCTGCTGGAAGTCATATTACAAACCGGTAGACATGATTGACAAAGAAACTTACTAAAATCTGGGACTCCTGTTTCTGCCTTCTAGGCTGCAGTAGTCAAATGAAACGAATTTTTAAGGTATACTTTATGACACACCAAAGGCTTAGTGCGGGAAATAACAACGTTGAAATTTCCTAGGGTTAGTAATTTGTTACAATGAGCGATCAGGGACAATTTCATCCAGGTGATGAGCTGTATGACACAATACGGCAGCGAAAGCAGAAAATAGACTAAATTCCGCGGACTTAGCGAAATAAATCAAAGTTATGGAAAATGGGACTTACGGGAATTAGCGTTAACGGATCGCTGTTTAATTGCTCTTTGCTTAAACGAAGTCGGTGAGAAAATACTCTGTATATTTTTGGTTACAGCAGTAGGCAAAAGTCTGTCACTTAGTAAAGTTGGAGCAAGACAATGTAATGCTGACATTTCATTTTGTCTAACGCAGTCCTAAAGAACAGACTATCTCCATGAGAGGATGTATACTGCCAAACGAGGAACAACAGGAAACACTGCAATTTGTAGAACTGAACATAGCCGTCAGTTCACTTGGCTTTATTGGTTGGTTGACGAATTTTAGTTACTTTTCCACAGTTTTGACAATTGTTGTTCGATTGCAGCTTGTAACTTCGGCGGTGACTATGTTAATAGCTGTGGTCCAACCACGAGTTTGAGAAGAATGAAAACCGAGGCGGTGTTGCAGGTGTCATGAATGCACACCTGTTGACGCGTATGTCTCCTACTGAATCAGTAAACTTTGCTACGAGATAGCAGTGGTTGTCAAAATTCAACAAGCTTCAGCTGGAATGCAGCTGATGGGGCTTATAAATCTGCCGGTACAGTTTTCATTTAGCCTCGATTTTACAATATTGCTAAGGATACCTTGATTTTCGCGGAATATTTTAACATAGACCTATGTCGAACTATTTCCAAGGTCACTACTGCTGTCCTCCACTTAGTTTTTGAAAATACTCAAGGTTCTTGTACACTCGAAAATGTGCCGTCTCTGGTAGAACTCTAGCTTGCTACGCTGTCGTGTCAACGGAATGCAGCTTTAGTTTATCCTGTTAAGAAATGTTACTTGTGCTCGTTAATACTGACCTTCTATTCAAATGACAACGGTAAACAATACGCTTTTTTCATCTATACAACTTTAATGCTCAATGTAATTTTAGCCCATCCGGAGTTGATATTGGAAAGTGCTGAAAATGTGCCCTTTTGGACCCATAAAGCTTATTTTGTCTTTACTTGACACTAAGGCTCTAACAGCCGGAAAGTGCCTTCACGATTGAATAGTGTATGAAAGCAGTCCAGTTGCTAACCATAGTCTGTTTAGAAGAAGTGGATGCGTTTTGAGTTTCGGTGCGTTTGAATTAGCCGCCGAGTAACCGCCGCTAAGGTGTTTTTGAACACACATAAACAAGAGTGATGCGCATTCTGAATTAGAGAGATCCTTTATCACAAATGACAAGCCTTCGTATGCCGGACGACGATATAAAGCATTATTGTGAACCCATGAAATTTGAACCAGCGTGACATTGCCTTTTATTCGGTTTACTTCGATTCGGACCCTACAAGTACCCTATCAAACCTCATGTTAGCTAGCTGGACTTTTTGATTCGTCACGTCAAGTACACAGCGGATATTCCCTTGTAAAACAGGACTGTATTTTAGCGTGACGAAGGCCCAGCAAAGGGCTAAAGCCATACAGTGTTGCGTGCTGCAAAATATCATCTTCATAAATGCGTTTGTATGCTGCTGTAGGTTCAGACGCCATGTGAACCCGAACGAGCAAGATGCTAATCCCTCTCACTGGGACTCAAGAGCTAGAAATGCGGTATTCCTTGAGACATTAAAAAAACACAAACAGTGCTCTACTTAAGACTTTGATTTATTCAATTATAGTCTAAGCAAATGTCATTATTACTGTGTGCAAGATTACAAGGTGACAAGCTATCTAGATATCGATGTAAGAATGAGACTTCTGGGTGTTAGACAACGCACAACAGAATCATTCAAGTCTGCCTGGCTCCATCAAACTTATTGCACCAGGGAGGCGCCGCACTGCGCACAACTCTAATGTGATCAAGACGACCAGCACGTTTGGCTGGGCTCCACACTGCACACAAGGTTCAAGTATAATATACGTGATTAGTTTCCTTGTAAGGATAAAACCACGGAGGAATCTCCTGATAGTGGAATAAACATTTGCTTTGGTTATCGGGTTCCTGGTCTTGTTCATTAAAATCAAAATCATTTCGCGCATGTTTTCAGGTGAATAGCGGGAGAGTAATCTGTGCCTAAATACTTTTGGTCCATCTTTGGACAAATTTGATAGCACTTCACTTATCGCTAAAGAATTCACCACTGCTGCTTATAATGCCAGCTAGATGTGTCTGAAACGTGTTACTGCCTCATCCTTTGCGAGTCGTGCACATTGACGATGATAGATGTGATCTTCAAGTTCGATGAAATGCCAGAATAGGTCTACGAAACAAGCATAAGTATCAAGGCTACCGGCGAATATTGAGCATGCATTATCCCCGCAGCATTTAATAAAATACTACACCGTGTTTGGCTAAAACCATTCATTTCACAAATATTGATCTGTCCGCTGCATTGCGGCTCGTGTTTTTAGATGAGGAGTCCTGATTCCTGCTAAAGTTCACCAACCCCACGATGGATGTACCTTGGTTGCTTTTACCGTTTAGCCTGATGGTTTAAACTGTGGTTCTGTCAGCAACGGTTAAGGAAGTATGTCATCGAATGAGATGGTGGTACATGCATGGGGTACGATGTGGAAGCTCACGGGCGACCTAAGCAAAATCTGGTGCCTAGTTCCGTCACTCCATGCAGCGTTGCGTTGAAAGGGCACAGAATATGGACTTGTGCAAGCTGCAATTCGGACACGAGATGTGTTTTTATGGACATACGATGAGATCCCAAGATATAAGATCCATCCCTACAAAATCAGTGCAAAGAAATAAATGCTACTGACTTGAGAACGCCAGTATATTACAGTGGTCGATGAATTTTTTGGCCGGTTACTCGCAAGTGATATTGCGGCAATGCAGAGAGAAAGTGGCTGCTGCACATAGTCTGTCATTTGCGGGAAGTGCATAAGATTCAAATCGCATAGCACATAACCAAAATTCCTACGCTAGATCGTCAGTTTCTATGCAGTCTGGAGCATACGTTCTAGATAAAACGAACTAGGCCTAAAGGCCCCCAGCTCTATCCGCACCGTTGCGAATAACCCAGAGACAAGTGCCAGGGATCTATCGATTGGAAGAGGACTTAATTTTTAACGTACGTCGGTTGCACACGGTTCATGAACCCGCTTCCCAGTCTCAAAATACGTATGAACATCAGGCCGAATCGCCTCTACCACGTAGTCAGCCTCGTCGGTCCACGAGAGCTACGAAGCCTGTCGAATGACACCAGCCAGCTTGACGCCGCTCGTCAATTATGGGGTGCTTGTTGTGGCCGATTCATCACGATATCCCTCCTAACTCATGTTTCATTGGCTGGCTGCAAAACAGCTTCTCTGTCCTCATTGGTTGTGTAAAATCCGGACGGTTAACCTTGATTGGTCTGTGTGATAATTTTGTGTATACCTTTGGATTCACTGCCGGGGGACATCCTGCTTCTTTGCTGCCTTCTTTATACAACAGTGACAAAAGAAAACAAGACGTTAGGTGAAAGTACATGAAACAGCAGCAGAGATCACCAGTCATTCTATCAGCAAGTTGCTTGTTTGTGAGGGATAAGATTTCTAGGATTGCAGGCTGGCCACATCCGGAGAGGAGTGGCTGTATTGCGGAAGTAGGATGTAAAATCCTTGGATTTTCACAGTTGCTTTTTCATGTTGGCAGCACAATGAAACGGATTAAATCGAGAAGACAGTACTTGGAGCTGCCTGTTAGGTGAAGCTTTCAACAATGATACAGTTAGAAGAAAGACCACTGAGAATACCGGCCACGAAATGCTTGTCAGCATTCAGTGAAAAACTGCACGACGTCCAAAGTCCCCTTCGCAGTATGTTTAGTCGCTTTCAAGTATATCACATATTGTTCGTGTATACGCCGAAGACACAAATTTGTATCAGGGACAGGCTGTCGGCAAGTCAACTGCAGGAGAACAATAGTTAATATGTGAGTCCACAATCATCGTGCGATATTTATAACTAATCGAAGAAAGACATGGGGAGGTGAAATGTGTCTAGTTAAGTGCCCGCATCCGTGAAGTTGCCAGCCAAGGGAAGGTTGTATGACATCATTTTAAAAGGGCACATGATATAAATAAAATGATAAGTGACGGAACGATGACGCAGATGACTAAGACGATTTGAAGTAAAAACAGACGTGTTGCGCGGTGACCAGATAAGGAATCTGATGAGCCAGTGAAGAAGGCGAGCAGTAAAACACTTGTGCAAGTAGAGGCAAATCGACCCAAGTTGAATGACTGGACACAGAGTATACAATCAGAAAGAACGAATTAAGTTCATTAGAGGAACCAGACAGTTAGAAGGACGAAAAACATGGACACAGTCATCGCGGGCGTGACGTATAGCTGTTAGATTGCGCAGCTTTGCTGAATCGTTGAAAAATTTCCCCATGCTCCATTATTTTATATGTGACAATTGAGATCGCAACTGCACAGTGAATTTTTTTCATGAAAACAGGTTTATAAACAAATCTTTCTGTCCCGAAACTAGGGATCATTAGGGATTAAGTGTTCAAAATATATTGTCAATATTTTCTATTTAAAGACTTAAAGGCACTGCAGATTCTTCCACCATGTATACAGTGAGCGACACCTCTCATACTTAGCGTAGTACAGAGAAACAATGCTTAACATCACATTCATTTTAGTCTGCCAACTTACATACTTGTAACCAAAGTGATGGAGTCATATATGGAAGCCTAAACGAATTGCTACACATGACCTGATGTCAGCTATCCCAGAACCACTCAGACTGTGCCAGCGCCTACCCACTCATGAGTGAGTCAGCCGTTAATGAACGGTATCACTCAGTCATTAGGAG